ACCAAAATGAAGCTAATAACATGTGGATTCACGTTATATATAAGTTTTCAAGGCTTAAAATCTACTAGGTTTTCCCACGAGAAAGCTCGATAGTTCGGCTTACCTAGATATACGTTGATCTCAGCCCTCTGACGTCCAATTCCTTCCAACGAAGTACCCTGAGACTCGTGAGGACCTCCTTAAGCTTCCTATAAGCTTCAAATTCCCTGAAACACAAGATTTCACGTATACATGAACAATGACCAAATCGGAGCTAGGGTTTCCACGTGAAATCGAAGGTTTCCTTACCTGAAAATGGTACCTTTGAACTCGTATGGTCCTCACGAACACAATGGTGATCTTAAAACCTTCGATCTACAAGGTTTGAAAGGGTTTCTGGGTTGGTCTGTACAAAGAAGGGGGATAGAGAGTCAGAGTCTAAGAGAGAAAGAGAGCACGGGAAGGAGAGAGAGAAAAGGTGGGTGTGTGTGTGTGGTCCAAAAGCCACCAATCAAAACTAAGAAAAGTCTTAGTTCTAATTGGGTCACCAATCTAACACAATTTAACCCAATAATAATTCACACACATCAATTAACGTCCGAGGACAATTCCATCATTTTACATCATCGACAAAAGAAGTTTGGGACGGGCTGTGACACTTAATGCACAAGATTGCCACTTAATTTAATCTTTCATGCGTATGAAAGTAATTAGTCAACAACTTTAACTGATATCTCTTTTTTAGTTTCTTATCTTATGCAAGAACTAAAACTAGGGTAAAAAACTTTAGAGACATTTGAAGGAGATTGAGAAGGAGAGAACGAAAAAGGAAAAGAAAACTGCGAATGTTGTTTGGACGTTAGGTTTGGGAAACAGATAGGCGCAAATTATAACTTATAATTAACCTTTTTTTTTTAAGGAAAACTAATGAAAATGACTTGAAAACTTTGAGTTTTAACGGTAAGGACAAAATAAAGGGTAAAATGAATAGTATCATGTTTGACTTTTTAGTGTAAAAATGTGGTTTTTCGTTAGAGTGAACAGTACCGTGAGCTTTTTGTTAAAACTCCCTTTTTTTTTATTATTGTTCTACCAATATACAGTTCGTTTGGGGCCCTTACACCATACCAGAGTTGGGTCCTTAGAAAAAAAAATTGAGATTTAAAAACTTCAGTTTTGTATAATCTAATATTAAATATTTACGTTATTTATTTTTTTCATATATGTACACTAATAAAAATAAAAAAATTTGGGGCAGCCTTTATGCGGGGCTCCGAACTGTCAACCTTCTCGCCCTTACTCAAGAACAGCCCTGCTCACATGTGGCAAGCAGGAAGCGGCTCGACTTTTTGTTGTAGCATAATTATTCACGTCACCACAAGCCTAACACTTGAACAATATATATTCGGAGACGTAAAACACATGTGACCAAACTTTACATGTGTACTATTGACATGCTATGATACTATGAAGGAAATAAGATTTCATCATAAAACTAATTGACAACATAAGGAGTCGCCAACTCATTGTAAGGCCCTTGCAAGGTTTATTAAATTCTCCCTACGAGGTGAATTTCACATCTTCACATCCAACTCAAACCAATTGATAATTCATGAATAGGTCAAAGATCATTTAAGCTATTAGATAAGAGTTTAGTTCCCTATTTGGGGATCACAATTCAACATAATTCCTCATGTGTGAGGTTATCTAAATTTAACATGTAAAAAACACATATTGAATGTCACAGTACGTGAATAGCATTAACTGACAACATATTAGAATGCAAGCGTTCAACTAATAAGAAATGACAATAAATAGCAACATTTTAGTCTCCAATATTTTAAAAAAAAAATGAAATCATAGCTTCAACAAAACCTGTCCCTTTCTTTTACCTCAAGCACATGTAATTGCTTGTTGGAATTCTGACCACATGCAGAATATCTCAAGGCAAACAGTGACTTGTTGGCATGATTCATCTCACAGGCCACAGAAGAGAGAAAATAAGAGAAACGATTTGCCACAAACTAGTTCCATTTGTTGGGAAGAGCCATCCTCTTCTGGCTTCTCAAATTTCCCAAAAGTGCTTTTAGTTTTACGTGTTTTCATTTGTGGTGCATTGCATTTGCAGTAGGTCCACCAATCTTGTTCTCTCCAACTACTTTTGCTGTAAGACGAAAGCAGCTTATATACGCCACATAAATATCTCGATTGGGATTGAAAAGAAAGCTTTTTCTTGTTTGGAAAAAAAAAATGAAAAAGAAAGGTTAAAGAAAAAGGAATTTCTCAAAGCTGAATTTGACCATCCAATTGTTACATACATGCAATGAATTTATAGATAAAAAGGTAATTTTTCAATGTTAGGCAATGTTGTCACTAGATTTCGAGCACCAACAAATCTAACAATTAAAAACGAAATGAAATGGCTATCAAACTAATTATGAATAAATAATTTAATAAATTTGGGTTTGCTGAAGTTCTAACCAAGCTAAACTTTGAGAGTTTTAAATCAAGATAATTAGGTGAAAAAATGTTAAGGAGACTATATTTTTGTACCACATGGTTAAGGGCGGATGTACATTGGAACCAAGGTGGTATCATGACCGCTCGAAGTCCGAAAAGTATACATATGACGGTCTTCCGGGGACTCTTTGAATGTTTGGTATAGATTCTTTTGTGCCCATGAAGTGTTTGATCTAATGTAAGCTAGGCATATCTCGGCAGCAATTGCCAGATTGCGTCGAGAGCACTCGACAAATTCTCTCGATAGCACTCATTAGATTGCTTCGGCATATATGTCAATATTCGTTGACATGTGCTCAACATGATTCGGTTGACGACAAATAGCCCACCAAGTGTGCAACGAAATGCCTTAGTGAATAAATTGAAATTTTTTTGAGCTCTCTGCGCTCTTGTCCTACCTAAAAAACTTAGACCTTTAACATTGTGACCCTTCAATGTTCGAATATTGGATTCACCACTGCACATGGTATCATTTGATGTGTAAGTAATGTGTACATGTCACGTCAATTAATGGGTTTATCTCATTGATTATTAGTTATATGCATCGTTTGCCACATTATGTGGTATAACCATATGATATTAATACGTGGTCTCCCAACATTACTTTAATTAGGTTGAGCCTCATGATACACTATTTTTCCTTAATCTACATCATGTAACATTTGACATTACCATTTGATTGTGATCACAGCTAGAGGTTTCAATGTATTTAGCTTTTTCAGACCTCATCGAGGATTATTCATGACCTTTAGGGTGTGGGATACCTTAGAATAATCTACAACATGTGATCTATTTCAACGTACTAAAATCAAATTTGTGAAGAAAATGTTTTTAACTTTAGACCATAGCTAGTTTGATTGATGACCGTAAACAAAAGTCAATAGTAAAGGATTCACTTAATGATTCTTTGTAGGACATAATATGAAAACTTAATTGGTGGAGAAGGGAGGCTATCAAAGTTGGGATTGAAGGAGACTGGAAAGAGATCTTCTTTGGATTTCTTCCTCCAAAACTTAAAGATCAAGTGATTCATGTTTTTGAAATTTGGTTTAACGGCTAAAAACAGAGAAATTAGTAAAAATTTGTAAAGTTATAATAATTTTTAACCGTTTGATCAAATTTTAAAGATTCGGATCACTTGATTCTTGAACTTTGAAGGAAGAGATCCGGAAATGATCTCTTTCCGAATGAGACAGGTTCTCCAACTGGATGTAAACTGTAAACTGTACTGGCTGCCCAAACCCGAAGGGTTGCATTATTATTTATGCCTTTTAGTTTGAAAAAACAAAACAAAAGGAAACTTGCTACTAGAGTTGACAGCGTCCTGAGATGCCCAACAGCCGACGTAACCTCATTTTTATATGGGATATGATATTCACACATCTTATTTTATTTTTTATATATTTTTTAAATTTTCGATCTTTAGATCGAATGAATTAAAAAAGATCAACTGACATAAATTACCAAAGAATGTGTGAGAAGTAAAATAGAATATGTGGGTGGATAGCACACCCCTTTTACATGATTTTCCTCAAACTCACTATAATATAGAATTGCTTCACTCAACTCAAATTATAAAATTTTAAGTAGAAAAGGAAATGATCCATGCACAATAATTTGTTTTTTCAGTTTATTTATTTATATAGTTGATAATTTTTTTACTTAATTTATTCATTACAAAGAATAGTTTATCTGATGTCGAAAAGTTTATACCAGTAATAACAGTAAAAAAAATAGCACTAATATTTCCAACCGAAATGTCAATTCTTATGTGGCATGACATGAAATGACAGCAGCTTCAAATAATTTTTAATTAGTTATTCATTTTTTTATTAATTTTATATGGTTTAAACATTTATTATAATTATTTTCTTTTATCAATTTATAATTAACTGTTGATTGCGTGACTCTTGTAATTTGTCTTTTATCCTGCCTTTTTTTTTTCTTAATCAACAAATTCTTATTTTTCCTTATTTAAGTGACGGCTGCAATTTCTAATAGAAGACGATAAGTATTCTGTTGTTTTACTAAGGAAATTTTTTTTTATCACGAATTATTTATATATTTAAAACTTAATAATTAAAAACTGAAAAAATTAAAAAATACAACTAAATTTAAAGAATAGTGTTAGAATGATCAAATTTTTAAATCAAATTTGCAAACAAAATGACGTGTTATCAATAAAAAATAAAAATGTTACACTTAAATAATAATCAACTCATTAACATCTATATTATTTAATTTTAAATTTTGAATCGTACTATCATTACGTAAACTTAAAATCATACGCACAAACAATTTAATGCAAAAACAACTGAATTAGCTGTGCGCGCGCCTGCACTATTCTCTCTACTCTCCACTCGATTAGAGAACTTTTAACCCAGAGTTAATGTCACCGTCGTCGTCCAAGTATCCAACCACCTTCTTTCCTCCCAAAAACTTTATAAAAACGCCCTCTCCTCTCCTCTCCTCCTTACCAATCAAACGCCTCCCCCCCATAACTCAATTCCTTCTCTACCTCACTACTTGCAGCACAGTAATAGTAGCTAGCATCCATTAATGGCTGCCCTAAGGAGCTTTCTCAAGAAAAGATCCTCTGTGCTTTGCAATGGAGGAGCAGTGAGACACAGGCTCTTCTCCGCTCAGGTGTCCCAACCCATCCCCGATTCTCCATCTTTCGCTCAGAGAATCGGAAATCTCCCCAAGGATCTTCCTGCCACCCAAATCAAAACCCAAGTTTCCCAAGTACCTTTTTTTCCTCTCTCTCTCTCTCTCTCTCTCTCTCTCTCTAGAAATTTCGTTCTTTGGTAAACTGGAAATGTTTGATTGCATGATATGTTATTATTTCAGATTTTTGTTTTTTTTGGTAATAATCAGTCAGTTTACCATGCATAAGTTTATACAAAAGAGAAGCTATCCACACATTTATTTTTTATTTTTCACATATTTTTTTATTTTTTATTGTCAAATCGAATGAATTAAAGAAAATTAATGATAAAAAATTAATAAAAGTGTGTAAGAAGTAAATGAGGGTGTAAATAGCATTTTCTTATACAAAAATGTTCTTTTAGCCGCCAACCACTGAATTACACATCGTCAACCATTGTTGACACTTGAATTTAATATTAAAAGTGAAGAACAAATAGACATGCTTTTATGGTTCATTCGCTAACCAATAGTCAGGAACGAGAAAAATTGCATTGATGAAGAATTAAATTGTGGAAGAGTTAAAATAGAAAAGAGCCAGAATCGAGTATGTGTTAATAAATTGTTTTATCATTTGTTTTTTTTGTTAAGAATTTATTTGATAGTCTAATTAATAGAATTGTTTTTTTTTTTTTAGCAAACAATGTTATCTGCACTGCACTAAGGGGAGGGTCAGCTTAGTCTTACAATGAGCTAGTAATAATGTAATTCAAATTTGTCTTTGGTGAGATTCGAACTTAAAACCTTTCACTTACAAATGACGAAGAATACTACTAGACTATAATACTAAGTGGATATTTATTAATCTTCTATTAATTTTTAACAAGAAGCAGCATTGGGGTTCTTTTGTGGAATGAAAGGTAATTTTGGTATAATTAGAACCAAGTGAAGGCATAATCGGTATAAGAAATCCATTCCATTCTCTACATATCCCGAAATTCAAATATCTCCCTTGTTTAGGAAGTCCAATTCCTAAAAAAATGAGAATTTCTAAATTCGTATGGATCCTACATGTATTTTGAATCTTTACAGTTAAGTAAACAAAGAAGTATCGCTTAATCGGAATTTTGTAAAGTGATTTCGCCATTAGTGTTTTAATGTTTTGACACTTGATGTCAAGTTCAGAGTGAGCATTTAATCATTAAGAGCATTTCCACCCCATCCCAAGTAGAAGGAAATTGGGTAACTGAATCAAAATCCACAAAACCTTCTCCACCCCAGCCCTAAAATTTGGGCAATAGGCGGGCCCAACCGAATCGGACTGAGCGATCTGATAGGGATGGCCTATGTGTATGCCTGAGCAGGTCTGACGTGATGACGTCAGCCATATTATTTTTATTTTTGCGTCAGCCGTGTGGATCGAGTGACCCGACAAAAAACATGAGCTGGGCCAGCGCTGCAGCCAGTTAGCCCATTTGTGCACTTGGCCGTTGGATCTCCACAAATTAGACGTTCCATGTTAATTCGAACTTTTTTTTTAATTCAAAAAAGAAAAAATATCTGAAAAAGTATTTGTGACCATGTGGCACAATCTTGACTATTGGACTGGAATTTTTTTTTTAATTCAACGGTCCAGATTAATTTAGTAAAAAAAATTTAAATATTATAAAAATACAAATTTAACGGAATATGTTTCGTGGTGTGACAGTATTTGTTAAAACTCTTATTTGAATTGAAGTATAATATTTTTCTAAAGTAGTTTGTCAATGTCAATTATTCAGGCAAATCATTTACGGGATTTAGACAATTACTATTTACTAAAATAATAATTGCCTTTTCCTAATTATTTATTGTCTTAGTGGAGTATACTAGCTTGCTGAATAAAAGAACGAGACTTTGAGTATATAATCTTAGTTTTATATGTTGAAATTTTAATTAGTTTTATTTTCATGAAGAATAAAATTTTGAGTGGATGATCTTAAATAGTTTTATACGTTAAAATTTGGAGTATACTTGCTTTCAGATCTCCTTTTTTAAGTATGTTTCATTTCGGGCCTCTCATTTTGTGCTACGTGTTCTGAACCTTTCGTCGTTTTGGCTTTTTGAAAGCATAATTTGTGTAGGAAGCTCAATACCTTGCCGCCCAGAAAACAAAAGGACAAAACTGGAAAAACAGACAAATAATCCTTCTTTTTTTTTTTGTTATTTTGTCATGGTTGATAAGCCACTTTTTTGTTGTGAAATGGTTGATAAGCTACTTGTAATCTATTCGTCGATACTTCTAAAATGGCTAAAAGAGCTTGTGACAACTTAAAATTGATAAAAATACACTTGAAATGCTCTTATGAGGAAAAACGCTTTTATTTTTAAAAGATCTTAAACATATACGTATGTGTGACTGATTTGAGGTGTGGAAGTTACTAGCTGAGGTAAAATGATCATCTACTTTACAAATCAAAGAAGAGGTGTCCTATCCTAGGACCTTCGTCAACTCCCATTAATTTCTTGTACGAAATTGTCACGTGCGTAACACATTAGACTGTGAAATATTTGATGGGTTAAGTACAGGAAGTTAAGAAAAGTTGATGAATGTTGTTGGATTGGATAAATCTGCAAACTTCATGGACCAAATTCGATGCAGTTGAAAATACAGCAACGAAAGTGGAACTTTGAAAACTATAGGGACTAAAAACGTGTCTTAGCCTTTGTCCGTTCTTCTTCTAGCCTTTTCACTGATAATATTTTTGCCATATTTCAGCTCATTGGTAGAACTCCCATTGTTTATCTTAACAAAGTCACTGAGGGATGTGGAGCTTTCATTGCTGTCAAGCAAGAGATGTTCCAACCCACCGCTAGCATCAAGGACAGGTACGTCGTGACTTCACCGGATTACCCGCATGAGAAACATGAAGTCTTACTGCTTAACGTTGTTTTTGTTTATACGCATTAAGCACCGAGTACAGATCAAATGAAAATTTGTTTGCTTAATTTTGGTGCAGACCGGCACTTTCTATGATCAACGATGCAGAAGAGAAGGGCTTGATAACTCCCGGGGAGGTTAGCTGAAGATTTCTCTTTGCTTTCTTATTTCGGGTTAACCGCATATGTTTGTCTTGCATTACTGTTTCAGATTTCCCTAATGACTGTTGTGTACATTCTGCATCAGACAACGCTGATCGAGCCAACGTCGGGGAATATGGGAATCAGCATGGCTTTTATGGCGGCCATGAAAGGGTATAAGATGGTTCTAACTTTGCCGTCTTACACTAGTTTGGAGAGAAGGGTGTGTATGAGATGCTTTGGAGCTGATTTAATTCTCACTGATCCAACCAAGGGGATGGGAGGGACTGTTAAGAAGGCGTATGATCTTTTGGAATCTACGCCGAATGCCTTTATGCTCCAACAATTCTCAAATCCCGCCAATACTAAGGTACGCAATATTTTCTTTGACTTAACTTGATCAAATGTTGCACCAGTCTATCGTTATGCTATGTATGATCATAAAATTGAAGGTGGATATACGACTAACCTCGAAAAAAAACAGGTGCATTTTGAAACTACAGGCCCTGAGATATGGGAGGATACCAACGGACAAGTTGACATCTTCGTAATGGGAATTGGTAGCGGAGGCACTGTCTCTGGGGTCGGGCAGTATCTCAAATCTAAAAATCCTAATGTTCAGGTGATGACATTTGAACGATCTTATAATATGTTCATGCATTTTGTGATGTGTCGTTATATTCAGTTTTTATTTCGTTAGTAATGTTGAATCTCTTGCAATCATGGTAGATATACGGAGTGGAGCCTGCTGAAAGTAATGTGCTGAATGGTGGTAAACCAGGTAGAGTATTGCTTAACATCTTGTTCCAAAGTTAACCTTTATGATTATGTCCGTGATTGTATTTTTGGAAGTTTATAACTTTTGCAAGATGTATTTTCCCTTCTTATATAAAACTGTGTATGGTAATAGGTCCTCATTCAATCACGGGCAACGGGGTTGGATTCAAACCAGATATATTGGACATGGATATGATGGAAAGAGTGATTGAGGCAAGTACCAAATTTGACGATATTTTCTTATGAGGAGCCGAACTTGCTGAACAAAGGAAGTTTTTGTGTTTGTATTTGGAGTTGTGGCTTTTACTGAGTTCCGTTTCTTATTTTTCAGGTTCGTAGCGAAGATGCAGTAAACATGGCAAGACAATTGGCACTGAAAGAAGGGCTTATGGTAATATTCAGTGACTAAAAATCACATTGTATCAACACATTGAAACGTATTCACTTACGTCCTCCTTCGGATTCATGCAGGTGGGAATATCGTCTGGAGCCAACACAGTGGCAGCAATGGAGCTTGCTAAAAAGCCTGAAAACAAAGGCAAACTCATTGTGGTAAGGGCGACATATCCTTTGTTTTTCCTGCATGTAAGATTAAAGTTAATAAGATGTCCTGCTAACATTTTAAGAGACGGGTTGATCGGTTTCTTCCTTGTTGACATTTTGAGTTTGTGACACGTGATGTGAATTGCGACACACGTTGGCTCTTCGTGATCATTTGCTTTTTTTGTTTGGTTTCCAGACTGTTCACGCGAGCTTTGGGGAGCGATACTTGTCATCTGTTCTATTTCAAGACCTGAGGCAGGAAGCCGAAAACATGCAACCAGTTGCAGTCGACTAACCTTAAGTACTCCAAGGCTCTCCGTGTGACATGTAAAATCGCTTGTATCAGTGTATGCGTTGATGTCTGCCTTGACGATATAAGGCCTTATGTCTTGAAGTTAGATTTTATGCATAGAACATTGTCTGCAATTTACCTTTCTTGTGAAACTTGTGTTGTGACTCTCTGAAAGTGTAATGTAATGCAATTCATCTTTGAGTCTGCAGAGCATGTGTGCACACGTATAACCACACATATAACCTTCGGAATCTGTCTTCTGAGTTTTGAGGTAATATATGTTCAAGGAAATCAAATCTAGAAGGACAAAGTATATCCACACACTAAGGCTTTGTTTGGTGACTTGGACAGGATCGGATATGATAATTCACTAGATTCAATGTATGTTGTAGGAGGAAACAGATGACTTTCAAACTTTGCCCGAGTTGATGTAGAAGATGAATTAGTTGTGAAGAAAATTTATTCCCAATTTACCATTTTTGTGAGGATTAGAATGAATAATTTTACTTCATGACTAATTAGTTTTTACCTTCAATTTCGACACTTTGAAAGTTGACATTTATTTGTTATTTCAGCCTACATTACGTCCAGTGAATTATATATTACAATCAAATCCTATACACCAGGTGAGGCCTAATTTTATAAATTAGTAAAAGTTGGGGTCATGACAACATCCGACCTTAGCTCAGTTGGTAGAGCGGAGGACTGTAGTTGCAAATAGCAGATAATCCTTAGGTCGCTGGTTCGAATCCGGCAGGTCGGATCCTTTTTTGTGGTTTCTTAAGCGAGTAAATTGATAAGAAAAGTTCATAAAAAAATAAAACTTAGAAAATTAAATCTCTAGAAACTTTATTTGTTTTTATTTTGCTGGAAAAGAAAATTCATTCAGAATATCTAATACAATCGGTTCCAATACAATCGAATATTATAAAGCATATGAAGCAATTGTGGGATAGCTCTATCCCAAATATGCATATTAGAAATCGATAATCCTTCACTAGTAATAGTATCAGCTACAAAATTTGCTTCTTAAAAGATATGGCACCATGTCACACGTTGAAAAAAAAGAAAAATATGACAGCCAATGAATGTCCTCAATGATAGCTCTTATTCATCAAAGAGTGTCACGTTTATTTTGAACTACATCAATGACCAACTTAGAATCTCATTTCACCCTAATCATCTAGAACCCCTTGAGCTTTGCAAAATTTAAAGCATTCGTCAACGCCAAAGCTCCGGCCATAGAGATTGAGTTTTCTCCCAAATTTTGAGATCCAACAATAACAAGGACAACCATTGTTTCTGACATGAGCATGCTCAGTCTTCTTCTTCAAGTTCTTGACATTCAACCAAAAGAAATCCATGACCACCACTTCAACCCAAGACGGAGCAGGGTGAGGTTTAATATTTCTAAAAATCAATTTGTTTCTGTCATTCCATATTTGCCATATATTAACAAAACCTTGCTAAGCTTTGATAACTCAGTTTCGTAAACATTCGACAAAGATTCTAACCAATCTAATATATTTTTATAACCATGCATGCTATTAAGAAAATGAAGGTGAGAGATGTCAGGCAGCGTGCCTTTTAATTCAAATGCAACTTTAAATTCTAATATTCACGTTTGAGTTTTGAATAAATTTTATATACATGTATACTATGATGTCTAATAAAGCATCTTATTCAATAATAAAAATCGTTAGAACATTTTTTATGGTTATTTTTTCTTTAAAGAAAATAAATCATAAATTTGAATCTCTAATAAATAAACGTTTGTATAAACTGCCAAATCACATGATGAACTCACAAAGTTCATTGGCTTAAACTATTTTACTTTTTTTCTTTAGTGAGTGGAAGTTGTCTTTTTGCTAGGATTGGATTTGGGGTGTAGAAATTAGAATGCCTTCCTTGCCCTTGAATATAGCAATGTTTTGCGTTTTGCGTTTTGCTCTAAAATTATTATGAAATTTGCAGCATTCCAACTGTTTTATTTTCAAAATTTGTAAATAATAAAATCCACATCTTAGTGCGTAAATACATATTAATTTGGCTTGAAATTTCACAAAATAAAAGTATATATAGTATGTCACAGCCCGTCCCAATATATATTTATCGACGGCGTGAATTGACGAAAATACCCTTGGACGTTAGTTGTGTAATGTGGTTTAAGTGTGGTTTTGGATCAATATTCTTAAATCCTAATTGTTTGGAACCAATTAGGATTAAGTTATGCTATTTTTGGTGGTTGACCAATCCTAGGCCACACACACACACTCTCTCTCTTTTCTCTCCCTTACCCTCTCATCTCTCTCCTCTCTCAAACTCTCTCTCTCCTTCTTCCTGTACGGACGAACACCAAGGACCTATCAAACCTCACTGATCGAGGAAGAAAATGGTACCATTGTATTCGTGAGGACCCTACGAGTTCAAAGGTATCAATTTCTGGTAAGGAAACCTTTGATTTCACGTCGAAACCATAGCCCCGATTTGGGGTACTGTTCATGCAAACATTAAATCTTGTGTTTTTGGAAATTTCAAGCTCACAGGAAGCTTAAGGAGGTTCTCACGAGTCTCGGGGTACTTCGTTGGAAGGAAATGGACGTCGGAGGGACGAAATCGAAGCTATTCTAGGTAAGCCGAACTATTGAGCTTTCCCTAGGAAAAATGTAGCAGTTTGAGGTCTTAAAACTGTTATAACGTGATTATGGATGTCCCTAGCTTCATTTTGGTACAAATTTCATGAAAAATGGTTAAGAAACGAGCGAGAATAGACGTTTTAAAGTTTTACCCAGTTTCCCGGCGACCGGCGACTCGCCGGAGAAGATGACGGAATATGCTGACGCCGTCAGTCAGTTTTAACGGAATCTATTAGGCTTTAACAGAATATTCCTTAATGGTGGTTAGGGAATTCGTCAGGTTTGGTCGCGCGTGGGGGCGCGTTTTGCTGTGCCCTTGCCGGCGCATGGCGGAGCGTGGAAGCTCGAAAAATTTATCTAAAAATTTAGGGATGATCCTGAGGTTGTGTAGATCACTATGGTATATTCATATACCTATTTTGAGCAATGTATGAGAAGTTATTAGCTAGTTTTGTCTATGTGCTTTAATATAACGTTTTTATAGTTAATTCGCATATAGGTGAGACTTATTCCGAGGACGAGCGTATCCACGGGCGACTCGGGGGTTACGACCCGTCGACATACCAGTGAGTGGGCTTTTGTTTTCAGTATATACTTATATACTTGATATATTTCCCATAAATGCATTTTTAGGAAAGTATGCTTTGAAATAATTGTAGACATCGAAATTTCGGTAAATAAATGTTGACCGATAAATCAAAGTGTCAACGCTCATGTATTACATAAATTTTACACGTAGCGTGTGACTCAACGAAAATTGAAATGAGTTGGAAAAGTCATCAAATAGGACACGTGTCAACACCTGGCAGAAATGACTTATTTCATCTGGGATATTATATTCAAAATTAGATCTTGGAAATTTCTATAAATAGAAGGCCAATTTATTCATTTAGGGAAAACCAATTCATATTACACCTTGAAGCTCTGAAGCTCTGAAACTCCGAAGCTCTCAAGCATCCAGGTTCCCGAAGAATCAAGAAAGCCTTCTTCGTTCTTCGTTCATCGTTCTTCCAAGATCAAGCCCCGACGGCCCTTGAAGAAAGTGTTCTTCGTTCATCGTTCATCCAAGATCAAGCCCCAACGGCCCTTTGGATCAACGAACGTCGACAAATCCATACATCCAACCGTTCTTCAAGATCAAGCCCAAAAGCCCTTGAAGACCTGTTCATCACTGTTCTTCAAGATCAAGCCCAAAAGCCCTTGGAGATCCGTTCATCACTGTTCTTCAAAGATCAAGCCCAAAAGCCCCTTTGAAGATCCGCTCAAAGCCACCTTCAAGATCAAGTCCACGGCCCTTGAAGAACGTTCATCCTTAGATCAAGCCCAACGGCCCTTTGGATCAATCGCACATCCACCAATCAACACCTTACGGAGATCGAATCAGAGGATCAAAATAGAGAGAGATTGTAACCCAAAATCATCAAATACATAATATTTGTTGTGCACGTCGTTCTTGTCTCTTTCGTTTCAGGAATTTTCCGTGTTCACAAATTGGCACGCCCGGTGGGACATCTCTACCTCTCATCTCTTCCTCCGTTCAAGGAATATAAGCACACTTCCAAAATCAATGACGTCAAGGAAGGCTCAAGCTGTTCCCGTAACCGGCGCAAAGAACAAAGGCGCCCTCGTCGCAAGTGGTGTCACGTTGGGTATCACGACTCGAAGCAAAGCAAAAGCTACTTCTGCCACCTCTGCATCAACTCTGCCAGGGGAACGAGAGTACCCCAGGCACGAGCCTGTGATCACCTTAGCCTCACTAAGGGCACCAAGGGGATACTCCGAATCCATGCTCTCCGATGACGATTCAAGCGGCAGTTCAGCCATGCAAGTCATGACCGCTTGAGCAACTTCAATCGAGGAACAGCTTGCTCAAATGAATGAAGCAATCGCAAGACTAACTCGAACCGTGGAAGAAAAAGACTTGCAAATCGCGGCATTAGTCAACCAACTGGAGGCGCATGACAGCGAGAAACCCGACCTAGAGGATGATCCACTAAAGGGAGCTGGCGGAGACGAAGAACCCCCGGTGAAGAAAATCGATGGGAAGCCGAAACCAGACCAAGCAGCGGCACTCATGGGATCTCTTTCTATCCAGCGGCTGCAAGAGATGATCACCAACACCATCAAGGCACAGTACGAAGGGAGCTCATATACCTCCGGGTTGTACTCAAAGCCGTATTCAAAAAAGATCGACGCCTTAAGGATGCCAAGGGGTTATCAACCACCAAAGTTCATGCAATTTGATGGAAAGGGAAACCCGAAACAGCACGTTGCCCACTTCGTTGAAACTTGCAACAACGCAGGAACCGAAGGGGACTACCTCGCCAAGCAGTTTGTGCGCTCGCTGAAAGGAAACGCCTTTGAGTGGTACACAGATCTGGAGCCTGAATCCATCAACAGTTGGGAGCAATTGGAGCGGGAATTCCTCAATCGCTTCTACAGCACCCGCCGCACTGTGAGCATGCTAGAACTAACAAGCACAAAGCAGTGGAAGGACGAGCCAGTCATGGACTACATCAACCGATGGCGTAATCTAAGCCTCGACTGTAAGGACAGACTCTCCGAGATTTCTTCAATCGAGATGTGCATCCAGGGCATGCAATGGGGTTTACAATACATCCTTCAAGGTATCAAACCAC